TGCTGCTGGAGGTTCTGGAGCTGCTGGAGGTGCTGGCGCTGGTGCTGGTGACACTGCACAGCCGCGCCTGTTCTTCGCTCCGCCGTCGCCGTCGTCTCTGCCACCGCCTGACTCCGTGCTTCGCCAGGTTCTTAGCCTCCCATCTTCTACTGGTCCCCCGTTACAGCCTGGCTCCCCTCTGCCTGCTCCCTCTCCTTACACTGAGCAGACTGAGTCGCTTACAGAGAGTCATGAGCCTGCGTCTCGTCCTGCCTCACCTGTTCGCACTGGTCGCACTGCTCGTCGTGTTCCTCGTCCGCGTCCTCCTCCTGTCCCTGGCACGCACACTATGGCACTTCGTCCTTCCTCTGTTCCACAGCGTGTTCCCCTGCCGTCTCCTCCTGCGTCCTCTCTTCCGCACGTTCCGGACCCTGAGTCTGACCTGGTTCGTGCTGCTCACCCTACTGTCACGCGTCTGTTGGCCACTGTTGTCACTGACCCTTCCTTTGAGTCTGCTGCTGCGTCTGCCTTGGTCGCTGAGCTTGTAGACTTTGCTGCTGCTTGTCGTCTCGACTACGCCGCTAGTCTTGTTGCTGACTCTGAGTCTCTCTGTCCTCCGTCCGTCGGGGGTGAGTATGCTCTTGGCACGGACGTCCTTGAAGACAGGCAGGAGGACTTTGAGTGTCTTGCAGCCGCTGTACCTCATCTCGTGGCCATGCTGCTTGCCCCTGAGGGAGACCCGGATGCACCAGACATCCCGACCCCGCGCTCTTACGCTGAGGCGATCGCGGGTGAGTACTCCTCTCAGTGGCAGACAGCCATGGATGCAGAGATGGCATCCTGGAAGTCCACAGGCACTTACGTCAATGCAGTTTCCCCTCCTGGGGCGAACATAGTCGATGGCATGTGGATTTTCAGGGTGAAGCGGCCGCCGGGTTCTCCGCCTGTCTTCAAGGCTCGTTACGTTGCACGAGGCTTCAGTCAGCGACAGGGAGTTGACTTCTTCCAGACCTTCTCCCCCACCCCGAAGATGACCACTCTTCGGGTGCTGCTGCACGTTGCCGCTCAGCGTGACTACGAGCTTCACTCTCTGGACTTCAGCACAGCGTTCTTACAGGGCAGTCTGCACGAGGAGATCTGGCTGCGCCGCCCACCTGGCTTCACTGGGTCGTTTCCTCCTGGTACCCAGTGGAGCCTCAGGCGGCCAGTCTACGGTCTCCGTCAGGCGCCTCGTGAGTGGCACGACACACTGAGGACGACACTGGCGGCTCTTGGGTTTGCTCCTTCCACTGCTGACCCGTCATTGTTTCTGCGCACCGACACTTCGTTGCCGCCGTTCTACATCCTCGTGTACGTTGACGACTTGGTCTTTGCCACTGCTGACACAGAGGCTCTCGCCCTTGTGAAGTCTGAGCTGCAGAAGAGACACACGTGCACAGATCTGGGTGAGCTGCGCAGCTACCTTGGCTTGCAGATCACCCGGGACAGAGCACGGCGCACCATCACACTGACTCAGTCACACATGGTGCAGCAGGTCCTTCAGCGCTTCGGCTGCAATTGGTCCTCGCCACAGTCCACTCCTCTGGCTACAGGTCACTCGCTCTCAGCTCTACCTTCGGATGAGTCCGTAGAGCCAAGTGGTCCTTACCCAGAGCTAGTGGGCTGCCTCATGTACCTGATGACCTGCACTCGTCCTAACCTTGCGTACCCTCTTGGCCTTCTGGCACGCTACGTGGCTCCTGGTAGGCACCGAAAGGTGCACTGGGAAGCTGCGAAGAGGGTACTGCGCTACTTGTGCAGTACATCGGGCATGGGGCTCGTGCCAGTTGTCCTCACTGGGCACTCAGACGCTTCTTGGGTCGACGACCTGGCTACGCAGCGGTCGTCACAGGGTTACACGTTCAGCCTTGGCTCAGGCTCTGTTTCTTGGCGGTCTACTCGCTCGTCCTATGTTCTCAGCTCCAGTTGTGAGGCTGAGATCTACGCCACAGCCATGGCTGCATAGGAGTTACGCTGGCTCACCTACCTGCTGACCGACTTGGGAGAGAGGCCTCGTTCTCCTCCAGTTCTGTACGTCGACAACAAGGCTGCCATTGCCTTGTGTCAGGACCACAGACTGGAGCACAGAACGAAGCACATCACTCTGCGTTACTTCCTTGCTCGAGAGTTGCAGCAGCGTGGTCAGCTTCGTGTCGCTCACGTGCCCACCCGGGCCAACACAGCTGATGTGTTCACCAAGGCCCTTCCGGCTGGTGATCATCAGCGCTTCTGCACTGCTCTAGGCCTGGTGCCTACGTTTCCTCACTTGCTGTAGACTTTGCTTGTACTGTGATCTACATATATAAATTTGCATGTCTCTGATTGCTAGGTTGTAATCATTGTACTGTTTGCTCTATTATAAAACTGCATGTGAACTGGCCTTGTGGCCGCTTGCTTGTGCTCGGAATGCGTGGTGACGTTGAGATCCACCCTGAGCTTGCTTTGCTTTGTTTCTTCTCTTGACTGGTCTTGTGACCATTGTTTTCTCTGGCTATCTCCCACTTCGCCTATGGGGGTGGGTTTAGCCTTAGGGGGTACACATACTTTCTCGACACTCTCATGTACCACCCTTCCTTGACCTAATCTTCATTCCTCCTCTTAGTCTAACAGATCAGGCATGAAATGAAATCAACAAAAGACCCTACGGTCTTATATATCTGGGGGGTGACGTAAATTGGGTTTCTTGAAATAATCGTGCCATGCAACGTGCGGTAGATTCTTTTCCAACTCGACTTGGGAGAACCAGAGGTGTACCTAATCTTTCAAAGAAGAATTTGGGGGGGATTGTATCTTCCGTACCTACCTAAATTCAAGGAATTTGGATAATGGCTGGCTGGCAGGTGCAAAGCTGGTGGGCAGCCTTACAAAGTGGATGCAGCGGTGATGGGGTGTCTCCGCAGCAGAGTTCTCAGATGCACCGGCTGATGCTGCGCTCTTAGTAAGACTGTAGCAACCTATCTAGTGAAGCAGCAGCGGATTTGGCAGCAGGATGCATGTGCAGTGCACCTGTAGCAGTGCCTGCAGCTCTGACCTGCACTGTGTGTTAACGGCAGTGAGTGGCAGGCAGAGGCAGGGGCTAGTGGGTAGAATCCAGGAAGGGGCTCCCTTACAGAAGGGGAAGTCTCAGGGCAAGCAGGGCGAAAGGAAGGCTAGCTCAATCACTCAGGGTTGTTTCAGCAACCTCGGGAGTACCGCTTTCACTGTGAGTTGATGCAGTCTAGTTTGCACCAGGCCAAACTTGTCAGTGGGTGCTGCTCACATCACACTGAGCTGTTCATGATTAAAGCCCAAGTTCATATCAGCAAAAAGGTAACATTCACATCGTTCACATCATAGATCGCACACACGTACTACCACTCAGCCCACTGAAAGTGCTAACTATGCAGCCCACTGGAAAAAAACACAAGCACGAAAGAAGAACAGAAGCAAACACGCAAGCATCATTTCTTCCAGCTGAAGAGACCGCCCTTCCTGCCGCCTGCGTTCTCCTGCTTGCCAGTGGGGGCCGCCGGCGCCGGCGGCGGGGACGGGATGGGGTATCCCGACCTCTGACGCGTTTTGGGCTGAGCGGATTCGGACGCGGCTTGGAGCGCCTGTGGTGCATCGTCACCGAACCGGTTCTTGATGACCTTTACGTTGGATTTCGACAAGTTGTCCGGCTCAGCCATGCTCTTCGCCGGCGCCTTCTGACTGTTCTCCGACTGGGAGCCGACGCTGCCGCTGCTGTATTGACGGACGTACTTGGGCGGCGATGGCGCAGCATCGAGGAGGCTCAGGCATGCGAGGAGTAGGGCGAGCACGAAAAGAGAGCGGATGACAGCCATCGTTGAAATCGACGGCGGATGCTTTTTCTAGGATAAATAGGCACTTGAGGTATTTTCCACGGAGCGATGAATCAGGCGGGCGATGCAGAGATAGGCAGAGGAAGAAGGGAATTGCTGGTGAGATGAGCGACGCCCGTCGTCGATTTATGCTTCCTCCGTGCTGCACTGAGATTCTGCGTTGGGGCTCACAATCTCCGCGTAGCGGCTGAAATTTCTGCTGGGAGACCGCCGTGAGTCGCGGGGAAGTCGGAATCTCCGTGAGTCATGGTGGTGTGCTTGGTTGCGAGTGAGTTCAACCCACGAAGAATGGACGAACAAAAATCGCGAGGTGGATTTGCACGACGTAGCGAATAGTTGTGAATTGTTGGCGAAATGCTACTGATGGAAGGAATTCGTCACACCTCCCTGCTGCGAGATTGGGGGGTCACGTAACCAGCGGGGTCTGTCTGCCTCGTGAACTAGCTCGACGCAATTATCTACAATAATCTCGCCCCTCAATTCCTTCCGCAGTCAACGGAAAGCATTTCCTGCATTCTTCAAGAATTAAAGCCACATGTTTGCGAAGGAATTTTGCGACTCACCAACTTACTCCAAGCCAGCTTAGAAGCTACCCATGATGCTGTCTCAACATTTCGCCATCCCAAATCCCTTAAGTAAAAGTTCGCATAGGCGAAACGCAATCGCCTAACCTCCTTTACTGGCTTGGCGAAGCTCGCTCAGGTAACGACGAAACTTTCTTATTGTCGGCTCCCCTCGTTCGCTGTGGGATGATGCGCACGACGGTGGTAAATATTAGAAAGAACGTCCTAAAGCGTAACGTACCAAGCCTCTCTGAACCGCCTTCCTCCGACTGAGTCTTGGGGCAACGTCTTCAGGACCTAGAGTTGAGGGCTCTAACTATCGAGTGCTTCAGTTCAGTAAATATTGGGAATCTTCGTACAGCTGTCATATGCAGTAGCGTACAGCTTACGAGAACCACTTCATTCATTCACATTCCTTTTTTTTTTTTTTCTGAGTCGATTAATTCAGTCCCCACATTCTTCACTCCGTCGATATTCTTTTTAAAATCTCGCCACGAGCGCGGCGGCCCTCGGTATTGATCTTCACCTCCCGTCATTGTCACATCTCGGTACAGTCACCTCATCATCGCCGGCGATCATGGACGCGAAGGTGCTGAGCTTCGGCGACGTCCTTCTGCGCGCGTGCGACGTGGCGACGCTGGAGCCGTCGCAATGGCTCAACGACAAAATCATCGAATTCTACTTCGAATACCTCTCGCGAACCCTCCTCGCCGCATCCGACCCCTCCGCATCTGCCGCCGGCGCTGCTGCTGGGACAGCTAGCAGCAGCGCGGGAGGAGCAAGCAGCAGCAGCTTTGGCGCCGGTGGTGCTGCTGCTGGTGGTGCGGCGAGAGGGGAGGGTACTAGCAGCAGCAGCGCTGTACTATTGGTGGGCCCGTCGGTGTCGTTTTGGCTCAACATCTGTCCGAGCGACGATGACGTCACGGAGACCATGGCTCCCTTGGGCGTGGAGAGCAAAGAGGTAGGGCATGCACGCAGGGCATCGCGGCGTTCTGATTTATCCCATCCAATTAGGTCACACACTGCGGCTTCACTGCTCGTCCATGGCTCCCCTGGGCAAGGAGCGGCGGACAGCAAGGAGGTAGGGGGTGCAGGCAGGAGAGGCAGGGCAATGCATTTCGGTTCATTTCATCTGTTTTTGACATGCACTGCGTCACGGCTTTCCCTGGCTCCCCTGGGCGTGGAGAGCAAAGAGGTAGGGAGTGCAGGCAGGACAATGCGTTACGATTGATTTCATCCGATTTTGTCCCGCACTGCTTCACGGCTTTTCCATGGCTCCCCTGGGTGTGGAGAACAAAGGAGGTACGGCAATTTGGTGTCATTGGGTGGAAAGTTGTTGTGGCTCTGATGGGGTGGAAGAAATGAAAAGGCGGCAGGCCTGGGCGTGGAGAACAAGGAGGTACGGCAATAAGGTGTCATTGGGTGAGAAGGTGGTTTTGGTGGTGGTGGATGGAATAAGTGAAAAGGCGGCAGGCACGACAATTCGTTTCGGTTCATTCCATCCGTTTACTGCCACGCACTTCTTCCCGCCTTTTCCATGGCTTCCCTGGGCGTGAAAATCAAGGAGGTACGGCAATTGGGTGTTATTGGATGGAAGGTGGTTTTGGTGGTGGTGGATGGAAGAAGTGAAAAGGCGGCAGGCTTTCTGAGGGAAAGGAGGAACGGTAATCTGGGTCTGGGCATGGTGCAGCTGGGTCTGGGAACGGTAATCTGGGTCTGGGTACCACTGCACTCTGAACCATGATCGCATCCATTTCATGACGTCACACTGCCTCAGCCGCTACCATTGACATCCTGCTTCGCATGACAATGTGTTTCTCCTCAATTCTTTTTCTTACTGCAACCTCCCCTGCCCCCCCCGCTGCCTCCTCCCCTGCCTCCTGCTCGGCCTCCTCCCTTGGCTCCTTGTGCATTGCTGCTCATCACACTCTCATATTCAACGGCAGAGATGACCCTATCACGTTCAATGCTCCCCCCCTTCACTGCCTTTCTCTCTCGACTCCCTCTCCTCCCCCCCTTTGATTCGTTACAGCTCATCGTACTGGCAGTCAACGACAACAACGACCCCAGCACGCTCAATGCTGCCCCCCTTCACTGTCTCCCTCCTTGAATTTCCCTCCCTTTGCTTCATTTCCTGCCTCTCTATTTCCCTCCCCGTGTTTGACTGCAGCTCATAGCCCTGGCAGTCAACGACAACAACGACCCCACACTTCCCGAGGCAGGCTCGCACTGGAGCCTGCTGCTCTTCATTAGGTCAGCTAGGGTTGGTGCCACTGCCCTTGTAGCTACACACGTCCGTTGCTGTTCCCCATAAGGTCAATGGCAACAACAGCCACACACTTGCCGAGGCAGGCTCGCACTGGAGCCTGCTGCTCTTCATCAGGTCAGCTAGGGTTGGTGCAATGCTAATGTCCTACTGGCATTGGGATATCATATCACACGGCTGTTTCTTTTCCCATGAGGTCAGCAGCAACAACAGCCTCACACTCGCACAAGCATTCTCGTACTGGATCCTGCTGATGCTGCTGCTAGCTAGCCACGGCCTGGAGACAACATTGTGTGCATTGCATTGCATGCTCACACCCTCTCTGTCTCCCTCCACTCGCCCTTTCTATGGATTCCACTGCCTATTCTTCCACAATCTGCCCCCCTTCCATGCATTGCCTGCCCGCACTCCCTCTCTCTTTCTCTCTCTCCCCTTGTCCCCACTGCAGGTCGCGTCGTCTCTTTATCCATTTTGACAGCGCCGGCTTGCACAATCTGAAATCGACAGCACTCCCTTCCCCTTCACCTGAAAGGCGACCCAATCTGTCTCACTCTCCCTCCTTGTCCCCACTGCAGGTCGCGTCGTCTCTTCCTTCACTTTGACAGCGCCGGCTCGCACAACCTGGAGGCAGCCAAGGGACTTGCAGAGAAGCTTCAAGCCCTCCTAGGTGCATTTCTGGCCAAGGGACTTTTACGGGTTTGCTGTCTGGCGTAGGGTCGTTGTGGTACAGGGGCGCTTGCGCTAGAGGCATTCAGATGTAGAAGCTTAGCGGTTTCTGTGCAATCTATTTCCTCGTTTTCTATTTCGGGTTTGTTGTCTGGCGTAGGTTCGTTGTGGTACAGAGGTGTTTTGTGTTAGGAGCATTCATGTGTAGAAGCGTTGTGGTGTCTCTGCAATCTATTTCCTGATATTTGAATCACTTTCATGCCTCCTCTTGACATTCTTTCATTCTGCTTTTTTTGTTCCTATTCCTGACAGGTGTTACTGTGACTGACGACACTTTCCAATCAGCATCTACACCTCAACAGCTAAACGGGTACGACTGTGGGGTGTACGTACTCGCTATAGCAAAGGCCCTCTGCGAGACCGCATCTGCTGCCCCCGAGGGGAAAGCATCGGCAGAGGAACTGGAAAGATCAGCCAAAGGGGTGGATGCGGCAGCGGTTACCAAGTTACGGGGAGATGTGAAGCAGCTCATTCAACATCTGGGGAAGCAAAGCAAGGAGTAAAAGGCGTGACCCAATCCCTGTGCCTGTGCTGCATTATCAACTGGACTGCACCATGCGTGCAAAAAGAGAAGTTGGGAAGATGAGTGGCTGAGGGGGACTGCTCACTGGCAATTAGGCTGTTGATTCGACACGACACCGGGGGGAGCAACACGAGGGAAAAACATAGCAGTAGTGCCTGTGTTGCAGAATTCACTGGGCTGTAGCAGGCATTAGGTCTCTGGTTGGGAAGATGGATGATTGGGAATTAGTACGGTAAGTGGGAAGATATGATGGAAAGGAAGCCGTTCCATTCTTTGCTCCAAGGTTTGGCCTTGGAAGGCTCAACTGGGAAAGGCTGTTACCATTTGCCAAACAATCAGAGAGTGCAATCATGGTCATGTAGGTATGTGGACAATGGACAGCAATTCCATGCATGTCATTGGAACAGTCTAATCCACAATCACAACCAATCAATCCCACCTTGCCTTCATGGTGTCCCTTCGACAGCATAACTTCATAAGAATCCAATAGCACAAGCACACCTCCTAATGCAGACTCTTATGAGGCTGCTTGTGATCTAAGCTGGGCTTGAAGCTCAGGTGTCAATCACATGCCTTCAATGCTCTTTGAGACATGTCAAAACGGTAGCTTGTGCTGCTACTTGTGATCTGAGCAGCGCTCGAAGCTCCGATGTCCACATGCCTTGAATGCTGGGCCGGGTCGACTCGTGCCGCGACTTCAGCTTGACCACTTTCCACCCCGTGGAATTCCGCAGCCTTAAAGCCTGGATCAGAATGGTCTCCGCTTCTTGATTCTTCACATCCACCACCCTCTCCCTCCCATTCACTGCATGGCATAGCATGGCGTGGCAGGGTGTGGGAGGAGTGAGGGAAATCGGGACATATCAGTGTGTGAGAGATTAATTGAAGGTGCCTCAACAAACATGAAGCCTGGATGAGTCTCAGCCTCTTGATTCTTCACATCCACCCCCCTCTCCCTCCCTCCCCTTCACTGAGTGGCATAGCAAGGCGTGGCATGACATAGCAAGGCACGGCAAGGTCCGGGAGGATGGCAATGGTGGTGTATGAGTGAGTCAAGTAGTATTTCAGAGGTGCCTCAAAAGGCTTAAAGCTTGGATGTGAATGGTCTCTGCCTCTTAGTTCTTCACATCCACCCCTCTCCCTCCCGTTCACTACGTGGTCCTGGGATGACGCGGCATGGTATGGCAGACAGGCGGAAGTGGTAACGGATACGTGTGTGTGACAGACAATGAGTCGTGTTTTGAGTCGACTCAAAACGTGGCAGACAGGGGGAAGGGAAGTGGTGACGGATACGTATGTGTGAGTGACAGACAATGAGTCGTGTTTTGAGTCGACTCAAAACGTGGCAAACAGGGGGAAGGGAAGTGGTGGCGGATACGTGTGTGTGAGTGACAGACAAGGAGTCGTGTTTTGAGTCGACTCAAAACGTGACAGACAGGGGGAAGGGAAGTGGTGATGGATACGTGTGTGTGAGAGACAGACAATGAGTCGTGTTTTGAGTCGACTCAAAACGTGGCAGACAGGGGGAAGGGAAGTGGTGACGGATACGTGTGTGTGAGTGAAAGACAAGGAGTCGTGTTTTGAGTCGACTCAAAACGTGGCAGACAAGGGGAAGGGAAGTGGTGACGGATACGTGTGTGTGAGTGACAGACAATGAGTCGTGTTTTGAGTCGACTCAAAACGTGGCAGACAGGGGGAAGGGAAGTGGTGACGGATACGTGCGTGTGAGTTGTCAAGACTATATCATGTTTGTGTTGTGTAGGGTGTAGTGGGGTAGCCCACAAGGGGTACAACCCAATTAGGATTAGTACTTGTACTCAGTTTCTGATCAATGCATTCATTCTCGTTCTAGGTTTTGACATGGTTTTAGAGCAGGTCCTGTTCCAGGACCGTTTTTAGGGCCCACCACATAGTACCTTGCCCGTCGCGCTGCCCCACCAGTCGCGCTGCCCTGCCCTGCCCTGCGTCGTGCTGCCCGCGCACGCCCTGCCCTGCCCTGCCCTGCGTTGCGCCGCCCCGCGCACGCCCTGCCCTGCGTCGCGCCGCCCGCGCACGCCCTGCCCTGCGTCGCGCCGCCCCGCGCACGCCCTGCCCTGCGTTGCAGCGTGCACGCACGCCCTGCTCTGCCCGTCGCGCCGCCCGTGCACGCCCTGCCCTGCCAGGCGCCGCGCCGCCCCGCGCACGCCCTGCCCTGCGTCGCGCTGCCCGCGCACGCCCTGCCCTGCCCGTCGCGCCGCCCGCGCGCGCCCTGCCCTGCCCGTCGCGCCGCCCGCGCACGCCCTGCCCTGCGTCGCGCCGCCCCGCGCACGCCCTGCCCTGCGTCGCGCTGCCCGCGCACGCCCTTACCTGCCTCGCGCCGCCCCACGCACGCCCTGCCCTGCGTCGCGCCGCCCGCGCATGCCCTGCCCTGCCCATCGCGCCGCCCTGCCGGCCAGCGCGCCGCCCTTCCCTGCCCGTCGCGTCGTCCTACTGCCTGCGTGCTGCCCTGCCTTGCCTGCGTGCTGCCCTGCTGGTCGTGCGCCACCCTGCTCGGCCCGCTATGGCCTCTCTTAGCGTTCTCACCTTCGATTCTAAGGGCCGTCCGATCCAGTTTGAGACCTGGCTAGACGACTTACAGCTGTACCTACAGAGCGAGTCTAGGGACGGCGTCTCCTTGTTTGACCACACGTCTGGGACCTCTCCTGCTCCTCCCGACACAGCTGGCAGTGCGACTCGCTCACAGTGGCTTACCCGTGACGCTACTGCTCGCCTCGCCGTTCGCAACCACCTGCCGTTAGCCGACAAGCGCACTTTGGACAGCACAAGACGGCCAAAGCACTGTTTGACGATGTCGTCGCTCGTTACTCCTCCCCAACCACTGCTTCTCTAGGCCGACTCATACTGCCCTACCTCTTTCCTGAGCTGTCAGACTTTTCCACAGTCGTCAACCTCATCACCCACCTTCGCACTAGCGACACTCGCTACCGCGCCGCGCTTCCATCCGAGTTTCTAGACAAGAACCCCCCCCCAATGTACATCACTCTCTACTTCATAGTCACCCGCCTCCCTGACTCTCTTCGCGCAGTCAGGGACCACTTTCTCGCCCTTGACCCCACAGACCTCACTGTCGACCTGCTCGAGAAGCATCTACGTGCAACTGAGACTAGGATAGTCAATGTAGCTGCTTCTCGTGGCACTCCTCGCAATCGGATTATTCTGATTTGTCGAAAGCAGAGTGGCAGGCTGTAGAGTTCCAAGGCGTCCTAAAATAAGAAGTTGACACAAACTCCCAGCACCGCACTAATACCTCCCTGCACTGTACCTCCCTGCACTATACCTCCGTGCACTATACCTCCCTGCACCGTACCTCCCTGCACTGTACCTCCTTGCACCGTACCTCTCTGCACCGTACCTCCTTGCACCATACATCCTTGCACCGTACCTCCCTGCACCGCACTTCCCTACACTGTACCTTCCTGCACCGTACCCCCATGCACCGTAACCCCCTGCACCGTACCCACCTGCATCGTACCCCCCTGCACCGTACCCCCCTGCATTGCACCCCCCTGCACCGTATTGGCAAAATGGATACCAACAGCAAGGCGATCGATCAATGCGTGTGCGGATGTGCTTGCACGCACGCGCATTCATTCAACGCGCATGACTGTTCAATTGACGCGCGTGAAAAGTCACACGCGCGTGTGATTGAATGCAACATCCCCGGTCTACTATGGAGGGCAGAGAGTAGAGAGCTCAAGACACTCTGATTGATTGAAAGTTTGGCGGATCTGAAGCAACATCGCGAATTCAGACAACTGATTGTTTCAAATGGAGAAAGGCCTGAAAATTTGCCGCTTGTTTCAATCGAACGAAGATCTTGCTTCCTACTACCTAGGGCGCATCTCCCATTGTTTCCGAATAAGACGTTGCCGATTAAATACCTACCTCGCGCCGCGGCTACTGCCGGAGAAGTCGCACTGGTTGACGACAAGCCGTCGGAGCTGCCACACTCCGCGCACTGCCATATCTTATAACGAGACACCGTTCTTAACGCGTCAATCTTGTCCCTGCAGTGAACAGAGCAGCAACGCTCGAGTTGGAATAGGACGTCACAACAGGGCAAGGGGCGATCGCATGCTAATCAGCTGCGCGACAGCTGCAAACGAGGACTAGCGAAGACCGCGATGCGTGGAGCAGATGGGGAAGTGGGAAGGTAAGCGAAGGCGTGGCAGTGAAGAACACAACAGGCGCTTCAGTCTTGGTGGCCTCGCACAATGATGTTTTGAGACACGTGTTTCCTCGCAACATGAATGTACTATGAATTATAGTGATAATTAACTCCCATACGAAGAATAAAAGAAAATGTCATGGTAGCATTGATCTTCACATGTTTCGTGAAAAGAATCTAGCATAATTGGCACGATACAATTGTTTTTATTGTAGGAACTAAGCCTTTATCACAAAGAAACGAACATGGAAATGACGATTTGCGAGGTGAACGAAGTTGTACTCTTCGCGAGAAAACCATTGTGCCTCCAACGCTCTCACACAGTTCTGTCAAGATTAGGTTAGGAGCCTTGGGGTTTAGGGAAGAGAGAGTTGGCCAAAAGAAGAGGGCTTGCAATAACAGGGAGAGTACAAGATATAGGAAGGGGAGGTGGCCAAGGGAGGTACACCACCTAACGACAAGATAGGTGATACTACACGCTATGCATGAAATAATATAATAATGTTATATTCTCATGTCAAACTATATGTGCTGCATATTGTCTAGGCTGTAGTGGGGTAGCCCATATGGGGTACAACCTAGTTAGGGTTTACTACTTGTACTCCTGCATCCTGTTAGTTCATTCATTCCTGCTGCTAGATTCTAACATGGTATCAGAGCACTAAGGTCCGTAGGACCGTTTTTTTCGGGCCCACCTACCGCTGCGGTTACCGCGCTACCCCACGTAGCCTTGCCTTGCCTTGTATGCCTTGCCTTGCCTTGCCTTGCCTGCG